TGGTGACATGTTCTCTGCCCTGGGTATTGCGTAGGACAGGGATAGACGAGCTGCGGCCAGAGCCTGCAGCTTGCTTCAGGAGTGACCACCATTGCTTGTTTCGCATTGATCCATGTTTGAGCCGATCTCGGATGCGGGCAGATTCTGCCTGCTTTGCGAAACGAAGGCAATTGGCAGAGGCTCGGACTTTGGCATTGTAGTCAATGAGTTGCTGGTGGCAGGTGGGGTGTCTCCTGAGACGGTTCCATGCATTCTTCTTTGCCTGGGTAGCGGCTGAGCATTCCGGCGTCCACCAGGATGGATCTGTTGGTTTCGTCGAAAGTTCTTTGTGTGGGATGAAGCGATTCATGCCTTCCATGACAGCAGCGGTTACTGATCTGCAGGACGCCTCGGGGTCTTCTGATATATCCCAGTTTGCTGTTGAGTAGAAGTGCCGAAGCCGGCCCCAGTCTGCCTGAGCATACCTCCAAACGCGCCGTTTAGTCGGTGGTTCGCGGAGTGGGGTGGCATCAAAAGTGGCCACAACGGTGGCATGGTCTGATGCTCCAATAAGGTCCAGTATATTTACCACCACTGAGGTCTCCGAGAAGTACTTGAGTGTGAAGTCCAGGGTGTTCTCACCACGTGTTGGTTGAGTAACGTGCTGGTGGAGCCCGTGAAACGCAGAGAGTTTTTCCATGTATTCACCAGCTGGTGTAGTCTTCGTGCTGCATATCCAGCTTTCATTATGAACATTTAAATCTCCGGCTATCACAACGCTGTTCCCGAGGGATTGAGCTTGATCCATGACTGAGTCAAGATACTCAAGCAGAGAAAGATCTTGTTCAGGGCACGACCCGGGTCGGTACATTGCACATGCAACTACTTTCTGGCCATTGACCAGGTGCAGGCAAAGCCAGATGACCTCATGGCCATGGTAGTTGATGTCACTCAGATGGTCAAAGGAGAGGGAGTCCCGGACCCAGACTGCAACTCCGCCACCTTGAGCAGATCGGTCAAGTCGGAGGGGTGGGTGGAAGCCCGGCATGGAGGAGTCAGATAGTGAGGCTTTCTTCGGGGTGAATTTAGTCTCTGTTACGATGGCGATGTCAGATCTGCTCCGTTCAACAGCATGCTGGAAGGCTCCAAACTTTGACAGCAGCCCAAAAGCATTTGTCAGCAGGAGCTTCATTACCGGGTATGTCCTTGCGCAGCTGGTTTTCATTGGTGTTTGTGTGGCTGAATCGCTCCAGCTGAGGCAGCCTCTTCCTCACTGTCCCTATCGCCTCTGCTGCCCACATTCCCGGCGCCAGATGAGCTGTCACACTGCGGCCGTTTGTGGTGTCACCAGGCTCGAGCGTAAAGCGGTCGTGGCCAGAAGTTCGCAGCAGTGACGGAGACTTTCCCGTCTTCCGTGGACCTTGACGGATTTGGCCACGGCCACAGATCGCTGCTGAGTGAACTCTGTCACTCGCTCCTCTGTGCAATATGCAAATTATGTTTTGTCTTCAAACCAGGCTTGTATTCAAAACAGGCTTCCTAACGAGACAGGCTTTAATTAGTGTGCTGGCGTGCTGCAGTGTCTGCTTTGTGCTGACCAGCAAGTGAAATCCAGGCACTCCGTACAATCCCGTGCAGCTAGCTGCCCAGCGAGGAAAGTCTCGAGTGGGGGCCTCTCGATCTGCTCCCTCATTCGCCTGGCATTCAGTAGCATGTCATCGCCAAGGACTTCAATTCAAAACAGTTTTCACACGGCGCTTCAAGCCTTTTTCTTCGTGAACTTGCTGCGAACGCATGAGCTCTGCTACACATGTTCCCTTTGCGTGAGGCCCAGAAACAGCTAGTATCTCCGTACTTCGATAAGATGGATCGACGTCGTCCAGGTTCTCCTCACTATCGCCATCACGGCTCTAACCAGACACGATTTCTTCACCATATTCCGCAGCAGCAGCAGCTAGCGCAGAAATTTCGCCGTCCCTGAGTGCAGGAGAGATTGAATCGGGTTTGATCAGCTCAAAACCTCTTCGTCGTGACTAGAAGAGTAGCAGGAAATATTCTACCGGAACCCCTTTGACTTCCCTGACTGCTGAAACCCTTCCTGCCATGACTGCTACTTCTTCACACAATCGATATTCTCTTTGGTTCCACTTCACTGCACTCGCGCAGCCACACAACCTTTTTGCAAAACATAATTTTTTTCTGCTAAAAATTATTTCCACCCTTAACCTCTTTTTCGCAGAAGTTGGGCCATATGACGATAGTGTAGATTTAATAATAATACAAGAAAGACGAAGCAAACTCTAAGAGCACCAAAGAAAAACTGTACCATGAACAAGAAAGTCACCAAGACAAGGCTACCTCTTGCCCAGAGGAACAGTCCCGAAAAGGTGCTAGGAAACCAGAAAAGGATACGAGAAAATAAACAAGTGCAAAATTCCATACTGCACCGTACGCGTATATGGTGCGTGAGAACCCCGCACGGGATCAGCGGAAATGTTTGCAGAGAGGTCCAGGACATGCATTGCCAAAAAGAGAAGTGTGAAGAGGTCAAAGTACAAGTGCGATTCCAGTGCAAAACAGCAGATCAAAGAAAACTATCACACGCAAGTCACGCTACACGTATGCATGCGTACCACCACCAGATCCGCGGAGCTAGCGCTAGCAACAATCGCGCGTGATCACATGATCAATGATGACATAATTCAAAAATGGCGCTCCTGCGAATGCACACTTCGGCAGCTGGCACATGGCAAGAAAGAACGAAAGTAATTCAAAAACAGTTCGAACACAACGAAGAAATAAGTTTGAGAGAACAATAAATTTATCAAGTAGAACAATATATGAATCTGCCAGGGGGTGCTTGCACCCAGCACTGGGTGACAGTAAGCGCTGACAGACAAAAGAGAAAGAACTAACGGAAAAAGAGAAATACTACAGCGCTGCGGAACGAAGATCAAACGGCAATTCAGTAAATCGTAACATTCAATTACACTCAACCTGTCACAATCAATACGCTTGCCACTCAAATACTACTCTGACACTGCTCTGAGCACGCAGCGCGGACATGGGACATGGATTTACCACAGAAGTCTGCAGTTTCACAGCAGCAGTCAGCAGATATTGATATGCAGATTGCGTGGTGACCATTTGTCCACGATTAGAATGAACCCAAATGACCCACCAACCAATACACTCGAGAAAAAGACTGCCAAACGGTTCAGTCAGGATTGTATCATGTGGGTTTTAAAAGGCCCTTGGTGTGCGATTTTTAAGATATCAAGAATTCTCGATTACTCAAAATTCGATCGGAGAAAATCATAGTATTCAAACTCGGGATCTCAGTGCCAACTTTCACCCCTACTAGTAACAATCAGATCATCACAACAGTTATAAAAGCGGAGGTGTGTACAAATGCTACCAACCGATGCAGGCGTAGAACCTAACTTGGCATCAACCTTGCATCGTGGCCTGGGAAAGACAAAATGTGGGCCATCAGTTCCAGGCAAGCATATTCTACTGACCAATTTCTTGCCTGGCAGTGAGACATGTATTGGGGTTTTCAACCTTAACCTGGCAAACAGTTTGTCAATTGACTTATCAGAGTAGTGTGTATGTACATGAGAATAACTCATATCGTCGTCCTTTTCGTACTCCACAAATGTATTGCCCAACTCACTATGAAGTCTTCATAGTGAGTTTGGCACTACATTTGTGGAGTACGAAAAGGACGACGGCATATTCTCCAGAGACAACGATGGACAACAGGAACAGTTAGATGGGACAATATTTATTTGGGAGACGAAGAGACAGAGACCAAGACGAACGAAACGACTACATTGTGGCAGAGAGAGACAAGAGCTAGAGATCAAGTGTGAACGGCAAGATAAAGGGCCTGGGTCGGTATGGAGAATATGGGCGCGCAAGTAGCTACCCAGGCCAACAGAAAAAAAGGTGAGAAAAGGAGACAAAAGGTGAGTACGACGTAGTATGGGGTGCATGCAGGCCTGCCTGGAAAAGGTTGTACGGGAGGAGGTACCTAATATACCTCCCCTGCGCAAAGAAAAGAACCCCGACCTCGCGGGAAATAATACGACGACGAGAAAAATAGAAAAAAATGGCTGAGGAAGTAGAGAAAAAAAGCACACACACACACACACACACACACACACACAGCACCCACACACACACACACACACACACACACACACACACACAACACACGGGTGTCACAAAAATGTTATACTAATTATATACTACAGTTATGATGTTCCTGTACTCTAAAGTATTTACAAATCACTCATGGTAGCGTAGACATTGCCAACGACGGGCCAAATACCCCTCCACAAAAAAATTGGCAAACATAAAAAACTAAAAGCAAAGAACATTGCCTTCTGATTCGCATAGCTATACAGCATAGTTACTCTTCTGCCAATTAATGCGACATGAATAAAGGAGCGTGGCTCACCATCGGACGCCTAATATTGACGAAGGACACCCGCGCGCGCACTCACACTACAAAAATTGAAAAATAAATTAAACCGAAAATAAATTTGACGACGATGGACAGATGAAAAGAAAGAGAGAAATGAAGAAAATAGCTGACCTGCATGACTTGGACGAGACGAGATTGACATTGAAGAGACCAGGTTGACATGGACGAGACCAGGTTGACATAGGCGAGACGAGTTTTACTGAGGACGAGACGAATGGCGGTTGAGGACGACTGTGCATGGGATCCCATGCTCTACCGACTGAGATATCCGGAAGAGAGAGACAAGAGCTAGAGATCAAGTGTGAACGCGAAGGTAAAGGGCCTGGGTAGCTATGACAAATATAGGCGCACAAGTAGCTACCCAGGCCAACGGAACAAAAGGTGACTGCGACGTAGTATGGGGTGCATGCAGACGAGCTTGGAAAAGGTTGTACGGGAGAAGGTGCCTAACACATTTATATCCAATATAGATACTTTTCTGATGGATAACGCACAGGAATGTCTTGTCATGTGTGTTACCTGTACACAGACCGGTGATCTTCCTGTTCATGACTCTGCCAGGAATGGACATCTGGAAGTAGTCAAGTATCTACTAGACCTCCAACCCGACACGATCTCTGTAAAGTGCAATGTAAGTTGAGCAATCTCTATCCTTGATTCTCCTTAAGAATTTTTTTCCAGAACATGGTTTGAGCAATATATTCGATCACAACAAGTAGCATCTAGTCACTCGCGCCAGGCCAGAGCAACAGAACTTAACCTTACGGATTCCACCATCTGCCAGTAGAGCAGACCATGGCACACCATTCACTCTTGGGTCCATACAATGGCCGTCCCTACATTCTAAAGTGGCGTAAATATATTTCCTGGTGTATGTGTGTTTGTGTGTGTGTGTTTGGGGGGGGGGGTGCGTGCGTGAGTGCGCGTGTGCATACAGCAAGGATAGGCAACCGTCTTAGCTGTTCTATGCTGATGTCCTTAGCGTTGTGCAGACCACGTGTGCATTGGTGGTCGATTCTCATGGCTTCACAGGTTGTATGGATTAGGCAGTTATCTGGCACTAGTCTTGATCTGTCTCATTCAGATCTTGTCCGCTATCGTTGCTATAAGAGAAAATCTGTGGGTGCACCTCCAGTACATTTCGCAGATTTGCGTGCTTCTCTTGTAACGGGCGTATACATGGTACACGGTGTGTATGCGTGTACATGTGTGTGTGTGTGTGTGTGTGTGTGTGTGTGTGTGTGTGTGTGTGTGTAGCGGGGGGGGGGGGGGTGTATGTGCATGTTTGTGTGTACATGTATAATTATATTAGGGCTGAAACGATTATACTTGGTCCGCGTCAGCAATATTGTCGCTTATCTTTCAGCTTTGTTATTATGTGGCCAATGCTCACTTGGCAGCCCATTTCATCCCAATTTTGGTTAGTAGGTTAGTTTACTAGTATCTGAAAGGTCTAGCTAGATTTCGAGAGTGACAGGTTCGTGATTCTGATTGGTACAGCGCCGCATCAATAATTATAGATTATCTTGTCACACTGGGCAGGCAAGAGCAGCTCGTCGCACAAGAAAGTAATCGGCTACTCGGAATCAGTTCCATTTGCAAAAAGGCCGAGATCACTCACCTCAGAGATCGCTCGCCAAGCTGACATCGCAGTTCCCTCGCCTCCAGTGCAACACTCGGAGTATCCAGCGAATCGTGGAGATTTGCAAGTACTGTACGAGTCATCGTCGTTCAAAATAAATCTTGCAAAGAACGGCGACTGATTTGAACCACACAGGCAGTCGTGCTGCCGACGCGTAGTCCTATAGAGAAGGCGATCGTCACGGTCGACTTCCCTTTAGAAAATAGTCAGGCAGCGGAGAGGAAGAGAGATGAGCTTGCGAAAAAAAATATTTGTCACCAGCGCCGGGAGCAGCGACAAGGAGGACCAATAACGTATGAACCCTTCCTTGGACAATAAATTCCACTTGGCCAGTTGTCATTCTGTACTTTACCTTCCTTCATACCAAGTTTTATCGTCTCAAGTGCACTTGTTGTCCAAAGTCAAAGTTCAAATTGGACGATGTTTTACCGATACTTGTAGTTTTACTCTCTCTCACGAACTGTATTCCTATCTGTAATTGAAGACTTGTTTTCTTCTGGTTAGTGTGCCATGGTAGAGGATAGACTAATGCACAGCCAGTAATCCCCTTACAGCGTATGGTGCCGAAACCCAGGACCAGTGGAATCCGGTTTGGATCCGCCAAGCCTGATGTTGTCGCGTCTGCTAGCGATGCGCACCCGTCGCCTCATGTCAGCGTGAAGCATGATGGGCATGACGTAATTCTCCAGTCGAAGGATGGCGAAGTGCGCTGGAAAGCGGAGAAAAGGGAGTGGGAGCTTTCCTGGCAGTGAAAATATGGTGTTGCCCCAGCGGCTATGCTTTGATCACAATGCTACCTCCCACACGTCAGCTCAAGCACAGCAGGATCTTCTCGATAGCGGAGTACCCAACATCCTGTTTCAACCTCCCGGACATGAATCCAATTGAGAATCTGTGGGCTCTTCTCAAGAAGAGAATAATTCCACCTCGCTGCGAGAATTCTGACCAGCTTGTGCAGGCACTGCACCTGGAGTGGGACTCGTTGGCTCCTTACACGGTTTCCCCATGCGTGGAGTCACTGCCACGTCGTGTTGAAGCCCTAATCGAAGCAAACGGTGGCCACACGAAATATTGAAGCCCTTCTACTCTGTGTCTGAAATAAACTGTTTCGAAACGATCTCCGTCTTCTTTACTTGTCCTCAACTGAAATGAATGTTACCAAGAGTATATAACCCCCCAAGAGTGTGCAACTCTTGATACCCTTTCTATGGGGTACGCCGACGGCGAAAACTCACATCACGTTATGCAGTGTCTCAGTGGTACGTTTCCAGCCCGTTTTTAGCGAGCAGTGGAGTAATAAAAAAGCACTCTCTGACAGAAACTCACTACGCGTATGCAAATCCCCAGCATGACCATGGCAGATATTCGGATTTCGCACACGCTATCCTTCGTTTGCATGTAGTACGAAGATATCTGAGACACGTGATGTGAGTTTTCGCTGTCGGAGACCACATATGCAGAGGTGCACACTCTTGGGGGGTTATAATCTTGATGTTACTCTTCTCTTTGTTTGGTGCGTTTTTTTACACTTTGGTGTAAGCATGCATGCGTATGAGTACAGCACATGCACAGTTCATGTGGCACACTAGCACTTGTACAACTTTGAGGGCGTCAAGGGCCGCATCATCAATTCAACACCCGTGAACAGGAATGTTTTGGTGTGTGCAGAGATGTCCATAAATGATTCGAAAGAGTTCTTAGTATTGTATACTTGCGGCCATCATATGCCCCTCAACCCACAAGAGGAATATTGCAACATTACTTTGGCTCAAAAAGAATGCAAACTAATCAATCTCGCACCCAGCACTAAAGCATGTATTGGGGTTTTCCAGCTTTAGTTTGTAAACAGTTTGTCAATTGACTTATCACAATGTTGTGCGTGAGACTGCCTCACTTCGTGGTGGATTGTGCACTATACCCTATATAAATACTTTTCTGATGGATAACGCATTAGAATGTCTGGTCATGTGTGCTACCTTTACACAGGGCGGTAGTCTTCCTGTTTATTGCGCTGCCGCAAATGGGCATCTGGAAATCGTCAAGTATCTACTAGATCTCCAACCCGAAACGATCTCTGTGATTGGCTATGTAAGTTAAGCAATCTCCATCATTGACTCTCCTTGCTGTAGTCAGTTACTCCTACAGCACTCTTCTTGCCAATCAAGACTACTGTGCTAGCTATATGTCAATTGCTGGGGAGTATCAGGCCGAAACAGCAACCCCACCGATTGATATACTCCAAAAGTACCTGTGAATATTGGTGACTTTCCTGGCCGGCACTGATAGCTGCACAAAGCACCTCCATTGTGCATTTGGTTCACATAAACATTGGTTATGATTAAGAAAGGAAAAGGACAAAATGTTACGAGTTATGGCAAACTATCCACCAACGTAACCAGATATTATACAGTCAGCGAATGCGACAAAATGGCACAAAACTGACAAGGAGTACTGAGGCATTCGGCGACCTGACACCTAGCTTTTCCATTCTTCATCATAACTATATTGGCTCACCACACCAGTTCAAATAAACATTGGTCTCAATCATTTCTGATGTGACCTCATGGACACACTCATCATCAATTCAACACCCATCAACAGGAGTGTTTCTGTGTGAGCAGAGATGTCCACACATGATTCAAAAGAGTTCTTAGTATTGTATACTTGCGCCCATCATATGCCCCTCAACCCACGAGAGGAATATTACAATATTACTTTGGCTCAAAAAGAATGCAAACTAATCAATCTCGTACCCAGCACTAAAGCATGTATTGGGGTTTTCCAGCACTAGTTTGTAAACCGTTTGTCAATTGACTTATCACAATGTTGTGCGTGAGACTGCCTCACTTTGTAGTGGATTGTGCATTATACCCAATATAAGTACTTTTCTGATAGATAACGTATAGAAATGTCTGGTTATGTGTGTTACCTGTACACAGAACGGTAACCTTCCTGTTCATGGCGCTGCCTTTAAAGGGCATCTGGAACTTGTCAAGTATCTACTAGATCTCCAACCCGATACAATCTCTGCAAAGAACAATGTAAGTTGAGCAATGTCTATCGTTGATACCCCTTAAGCATTTTTTCCAGAACACGGTTTGAGCAATATATGCAACAAATAACATCTAGTCACTCGCGCCAGGCCAGAGCAACAGACATTAACCTTACGGATTCCACCATCGGCCAGTAGAGCAGACCATGGCACACCAATCTCTCTTGGGTTCATACAAGGGCCCTCCCTACATACTAAAGTGATGTAAATATATTTCCTGGTGTATGTGTGTTTGTGTGTGTGTGTGGGGGGGGGGGGGGCGTGCATGCGTGCGTGCGTGAGTGCGTGTGTGCATACAGCAAGGAAAACCAACTGTCTTAGTCGTTCTATGCTGATGTACTTCGTGTTGTGCAGACCACGTGTGCATTGGTGGTCGATTCTCATAACTTCACAGGTTGTATTGACTACAGTCCATTCGGAAAAAGTTGAGCGCTGGCTCTGGAGAGCTCCCGTATTTGGCGATTTTGTGGTACACTGTGCAATGCCGCGATATTCGAAACTTGAAAAAGGGTCCAAAAAAGGTACCTCAACTGGGTTTCGAACCGGAAATGTACTGTTATGCAAGTGGAGTGAACGGCCTGCATTTTCATGGTTTTTCCCCAATTCAGTGCTTTGGGGGCAAAACCTGGCCGAAATCCTTTTCTTGTTATGGCTAACTCTTTGGAAAACTAGACTTCAAAAGCACAATTGGAAGAGAATTCCATGGGGGACTGCCTAAATAAATAAGACGGAAACTTAAAATTTGACCCATTTATGGCCAGAAGCTAGGATATCATTTATTTCTGAATTGACTGTAGGCAGATATCTGGCACTAGTCTTGATCTGTCTCATTCAGATCTTGTCCACTATCGTTGCTATCGTTTGCGTACTTCTTTTGTGACGGGAGTACACATGGTACACGGTGTGTATGTGTTGGGGGAGGGGGAGGGGGAGGGGGAGGGGGTGTATGTGCATGTTTGTGTGTACATGTATATATTAGGGCTGAAACGATTATATCGGTTATCCGTATAATTGATCATAAAGCAGGATTCACAGAAGCATTTTGCGTTGTGACACACGATGCGACGGTTGCAAAACTGGGAAATCCCCAAATCGCAGCCAACTCGCAGCCCATTTAACTGCCGCAACTGGGCCATCGCAGAAGTTGAGCTCGGCTCAACTTTTGCGATGCGACAAACGATTTGGCGTACGATTTTGACCTTTTCTACAGCAAAGTTGTACAAAGATTCAAGAGTTGCCCGAAAATTTGTACAAGTTGTACCCAACCGCGTGAATACCATGGTGGCGTACCTGCCTGCATTGAACTTCGCGCCAAATCAGCAAGGTATCATCGCTTCGGGGACTTCGCCTGTGAATGGTATTTCGTGAGTTCGCATCGCACGTCTCCGTCGCAAATCGCGTCGCATCGCCAATCGCATAGCAAAAAAAGCTTCTTTGAATCCCCCTTACAACGAAGCGACTTCGATTATGCTGTCTATTTCGATAATGCGATTCCAAATAAATAAATACATAAAAGGAATAAAAAACGTGTACAAGAAGATGTCATGCACATGACTGTACTACGTAGTAGTAGGATCAGATAATGTTACGTACATAAGTCACCGGAGGATGTACCCAGTGTGCTGACGGTGCTCAACACCACGAAAACAGAGCGTTTGTTTGCCAGCTAGCTGGCCTCTGCGTACACCGCAGACACACCCACACACAACAGAAAGATACAGATCACAGTAGTAGTGTGGTATTTGTTCACTCACGATGATAGTTGTGTGTAGTAGTGTGGTTTTTGTTCACTCACGGTGGAAGATGGAAGAGCGTAGTGTATAGATGAGCATGAAGAAGGTTAAGGGCATGCCACCTCACGCATATACATGTACACGTATGTACCAGACCAACATGATGCAAGAAGTGAACCACTGTGGCGAATAGGGCCGCCGGATAATTTACCAGCCAGAAGCTGGCGGAAAAAACCTCAGGACCCCGGCGGAGGCACATCCCTGAGGAAAAACCGGTTAGAATAACCCCATAAGATAAACGAACCAAACGTAGCCTGCAGGACCTATCCCGAAGTGAGAATAAACGGGAGGGCGGGTGGTAAACTACAACGAAAAGAGAAAGACCACGATGAAGAGAAAAGTTTGAGAACACTGACAAAAAAAAACAGCTGACGCAATCCTGGTGCCGTAACTATGGTGAAAATGCTGGCAAAAAATACATTTTTCGTTTTATTCGCTACGCTCAGCCAACGAAAAATAACACTTTTTACCAGCTAGCTGGCCTCTGCGTACACCGCAGACACACCCACACTCGGTGTGAAACTTTGTCGAATGCTCCTGCTATGTCTATAGCCAGCACGCGGACTGCGCCACCACGGTTGGCTTCAGAGACCCAGGAGTGGTTGAGAGACGTGAGAAGGTCAGATGTGCTGAGCCCCTGCCGGAATCCGTACTGGTGGATGGACAGGGCCTTTTCATGCTCAAGATGATTGATTATGGCAGTGTTGACAATCTTCTCCATGACTTTGGAGACAACAGATAACAAGGACACAGGTCGGTAGTTCTTAGCAGCAGAATGAGATTGATTATTGTGTATCGGGACCACACGGGCTACTTTCCAGAGCGAGGGCTGGACATGGCACCGAAAACAGAGTGAGAACAGCTTGGAAATTGGTGCAGCCAAAACCTTTGAGCACAGCTTCAGAAATCTGGCAGGAATGCAATCGGGTCCGGTAGCCTTGGTTGGATCCAGCTGGCGGAGCTGGCGCTGGACTGTCGCTTCCCGAAATCGGACAGTTGTCAGGGCAGATGTACACCTAGGACGAAGGTCAGGAAGGTCGGAGTGCTGTAGATCTTGATCACACAGACTGCATTTGCTCGCAAAGAATTCTCCAAAGCAAGTAGCCTTTTCCTGGTTGGTGACATATTCTCTGCCCTGGGTATTGCGTAGGACAGGGATAGACGAGCTGCGGCCAGAGCCTGGAGCTTGCTTCAGGAGTGACCACCATTGCTTGTTTCGCATTGATCCATGTTTGAGCCGATCTCGGATGTGGGCAGATTCTGCCACACGCTTTCCACATTGGAGGCGAGCGACACGCATGAACGCCCAAACTTTAGCATGACACGTTGAGTGCCCACAACGCATGCCGCCCACGTTGAGCGTCGCGCATGAATGAATGTCGCGTTGAGTGACACGTTGTATGACACATAGAATGCCACGACGCATAGAGTACCATGTGAGCATGCACCAAGGCGTGTGACCAACATGGATACCGTGATGTACAGCGCACGTGACTGTAGCCAGCAGCAAAGCATGAGCATGCAGTAAAGCACCAGCAATCATAGCAGCATAGTTTGAGTGGTAGCACGAAGCAGCCGCGTGCACCCATTAATCTGCATTATTACTATAATGCTACATTAACTACAACACACAGCAGCTTGCGGTTAGGAGGGTGCTGGCCAGCGAAGTGAGAGGCTACAGAGAGAGCAGGATCTTGGCGGAGCCAAGAGGATAGTCACGTCCGAGGGACGAAGAACGAGAGCCCTGAGTAGCCGGAAATGAGCATGGCCCATTGTGGCCAGCAAGCCTCGTACCGAAGCAGCCGTGAGCAGGGTTAAAGTCATAGACACTGCCGGAGCAGGATCTTGGCGGAGCCAAGAGAGAGGTCAGAGAGAGGTCACTGCCGGAGCAGGATCTTGGTGGAGCCAAGACAGGGATCACTGCCGGAGCAGGATCTTGGTGGGGTAACCATCACCTACAGTGGGCTACGGTGGGCCGTAGATGCCGTAGAAATAACTGCACTCCCAGAGACGACAGAAGAATGCTGAAAGTTACCGTAGTTGTGTTTTCAGCTGCGCATAGAGGTTGCTCGCCGTTTTGCGCTGCGGGAAATCCTGCAGGTAGCTGACTTCTCATCCTCGGATTTGGTAAAATGATCCCAAACAACAGAACGGGGAGCACGACTGAAAACAGTTTCTGACAGGGGAACAGTGCGAACTCGAAACAAAAGAAAATTACGAAGTGGTCAAAGGAAGAGCGAGCAGCCAAAATATGTAAGTACATGTACGAGTACTCATGCTTTGTTCCGATGTTCGTCTACATGTCGTCGCCTCGACTCCAGCCAAGTGCCGGTTTAGATCGTGAACCGCGCGCGCGCGGGTCGTGTACCACCTGGCGCAGCGCTGGTCACAAGCACGCAGCTACACATAATAGGGAGGTTTAGTCCCACGTAATCCGTGGGTACTTTACGTGTGTGTACCACGTGATACTCAGTGACCCACGTACAGACGTTTTCTGATTCACGACATACCGTGTATGGAGGCTCACCCACGTTCCGCCAGAACGTGGGTGAAAATCAGAATGGAGCGCATTTTGCGAGCTGTGAGGGTGCTCAGCTGAAGAAATTTCCGAAGCACGAAATCAAAATATTCGATGAGCTTCTTAGGCCCGGGTAGCTTCGTCTTTGACCAGGTTTGGGCCTTTCGCTTCAGGCTTTTGTTTGTTCCATGTGACTAAACACACCATCGCAACGTGGATGCCCTTCATCCACTTTACGTGGATCACCCACGTACGCGTTTCCGTTACGTGGGAACTAAACCTCCCTATTCTACAGGCGGTGTGTGAAACGATCGTGACTGATCGCGATGTTTTTACGGGTTTATCGTACCGTACGCACATTCTCAAAGTTCGAATGTTCGTGAGAACTACGAATGTTCGTTTGCTGTGGCCTAACGAACGAATATTCGAATGTTCGGTATATTCGTTTCACCCCTACTGTTAGAGATGGGTAGCCGCAGCTCCCATCCATACAAGTGGGCAGTACTCCATTAGGGGCCGAATGAACCCCCGGCATGCTGTGGCCAGGCCGGGTGGGTCCAGGAAATGGCACGCCTTCCGGAAGAAACTAATTCGCTGTGTGGCACGCACTGCAGTTCCTCGAAGATGCTCCGAGTATGGAAGATGGGCATCAAACGTCACTCCAAGGAGTTTCAGCCG